CATGAGAGCTTTAACTCCGATGTCAACAATGCCAAATCATTATCACGATTATTCTGGTCAATATTGAAATCACGATTATTCAAACAATTATTTATTTGTAACACAATGCATTTATTCAGCATAAAAACAGGGTATACCCAGATTTGACTACCCCAAATTGAACTCTTTCGCCCATGAAGACGACATTTGACGACCCTCCCTTGTTTCCTTAATGACGTCTTTTGACACCTCCGCTGTATCACTAAAGACGTGATTTGACGACCGTTACAAATGGCTCGGTTTTTCACATGAAAACAGAGGCTGCGACAGGTGGGGGGGCTGCTACAACCCGTACGTACTAATATACAGTGTTGGGGAGTAACAGATTACATGTACCGGAGTTACGTAATCAGAGTACAAATTATGAGTAACTGTATTCAGTTACAGTTACTGCTTCAGTGAGTGGTAATTGGATTACAGTTACTTTGTTGAAATAAATGGATTACACAGAGGGATTTTCCCGTTTTCCTATTTTCACTTTTTTTTTTTTTTTTTTTCGGTAATTCCAATCATTGCCGGAAATTAAACCAGGTCTAAACTAGATCTAAACCAGGTCTAAACCAGGTCTAAACCAGGACTAAACCAGGACTAAACCAGGACTAAACCAGGACTAAAACCAGGACTAAAACCAGGTCTAAAACCAGGACTAAAACCAGAACTAAACCAGGACTAAACCAAGACAAAAAAGCAGGACTAAACCAGGTCTAAACCAGGACTAAACCAGGACTAAACCAGGACTAAACCAGGACTAAACCAGGACTAAACCAGGACTAAACTAAGACTAAAACCAGGACTAAAACCAGGTCTAAACCAGGATTTAACAGGACTAAACCAGGACTAAAACCAGGTCTAAACTAGATCTAAACCAGGTCTAAACTAGAGCTAAACTAGATCTAAACCAGGTCTAAACTAGAGCTAAACTAGATCTAAACCAGGTCTAAAACAGGATTTAACAGGACTAAATCCTGCTGCGTGGACGTGTCTCCTCTTCTTCTATCAATAATATTTTTAATACGGTTCAGTAAAGTCTGGGCTTTTTATTTTTCTTGTAGCAGATAAAACATCTTATGTGAAGATATCCTAGTCTTTGCTTCTCTACAGCAAATCAAGTAATCCAAAGTATTCAGATTACGTTACTCACTTGAAGTAATTTAATGGATTCCGTTACAAACTACATTTTGGGGGATGTAATCTGTAATCTGTAGGGGAATACATTTTAAAAGTCACCTTCCCAACACTGCTAATATATGTATGGGTTGTTCCAAGTAGGTGTCCGAGGGGGAAAGGGTTAAGACTTTTTAAAAACCTTTTTAAGACCACTTAAACAAAAATTAAGACCAACGTCACACCCATTATGCGAGCGAAAAACACCAGGTCTAATTCTAATAATGACCAACAAACTACGGTACTGTATATCTGGAATCTAAGGCTTCGTTTATATGATGACAGTTTGAACAGAAGACACAAAAGTGGTGTAGCGTCTTCATTTTTTAGTCCACGTTTAGACAAGCGTTTTCGGGAGGAAATCTGCGTGCATACGGTGACGCAAAAGTGTGTGGAATTGGATTGCGTGTGCATGCCAGGCGGCTCGGTGCTGATGTATGTGACGTAAACGTGTACGCGACCTGCGCAGATCTGACCAGAGTTTTGCGTCTTGGGCAGTGTAAACGTTTGATTGCGTTTTGAACAGTTATTTTGCGCTTCATACACACACACTCCTCATGGAAAACACACGAAGAAATGCAGATGATGCACATTTTAAGTTAAATTGATGTGGCTGTGGAAGAAGAAAACAGAGCTGCTGCTGCACGTGAGCTTGGCGTCAGTGAGTCGATGGTGAGATTTTCACGACGAATTGACTCAACGCAAAAAGACGAACTTGAAAATGTTCTTGAAGACATGGACACCTGCGGCTTATCTTCAGGTGCGCTCAACAGTTCGGAAAATACAATAAATAATCGGAAGACCAAATGAGCCTCACTGGACTGTATTTAAACTAGGGCAGGGCAAAAATAAAAAAAATATTAATCACATGAGTTCGAGTGCGATTAAAACAATTAATGAATTAAAAAGTAGCGTATAGTGATTTTTATTGGAAATGTAAATGAAAGAGCCAAACATTTGTTGTGCAAACAGCATTTCGAGGTATTCTGAAGGCTCAAGAAAAAATATTGAATTATTTTTTGTACTACTAATATATTTTTTCAATATTTTGTATTCAGTGAGTAATAAACACGATACTAGTAATAATTTCTAGATCATTGTTATAAACTTGGACTGATATTTCTTGGGAAACAAAGAGTTAATATAATAGAATGGAAATGGACCAATCACAGTTTTTCTTCCAGTGGTATCTGGGTAAATCAGTGACTCCCCCTGCAGCGCTGAACTAAACAAACACCTGCAGGACCTTCAGTGGCTGGAACGAAGTTTGAGATTGACAGTTGTCTGAGCCAATCATATTTCATTGAGTTATGGGCGGGGTCATATCACGAAATCTTCCGGACCTTCGCGAATACCCTGTGATAGCAAATGTAAGTGAGACCGAGGCGACGAAAACTGCACAGGACACCTCTGTTTGGATGGAGAAGAACAAGAAAGACCCTTGAACCGGAAGCCCGCGGAAGCTCAGAGCCCATGGCCAGGCCAGAGGCTCGGACACACGACATCTCATGTGTTCAGAAAAAAGTGAAAAGAAAAGACGTCAAACTTAAAGAAAAGCTCGCGGGGGACTTTTTCAAAATAAAAGCCAGTGAGCAACAGACGTTTACAATAAAAATAATAATAATAATAATAAAAACGGCGTTAACAGCGTTAAAATAATTGTCGGAGACGCAAAATTAACGCGTTAACGTGCCCGGCCCTAATTTGAACATAATAAAAGTAAGTATGTTTGTACCGTACTGCAGAACATTCTAGTGCATCCATTAAAACTTCTGTGCCCTGAAATGTCGTATTGTTATAACAAAATTCAAAGCTTGTGTCGCTGTTTTCCTGATCTGTGTGTCTCTTTATAAATGAAAGAAGAGGCCCTGGTCATAACAGTGTAATCTGAAGTGCTGACACACACACAGCCTTGTCCAACACGCACTCAATGACTCTCATTTACTCTCTTTTTCCTCCTCTCTCCTCTCTTTGTTTCTGTACGTCTCTCTCTCTCTTCTTTCCCACTTTCTCTTTTCCCCTATCCTCTAATATGTCTGTGTCTCACTCCTCGCTCTTATTCTCTGTCCAGCTCTTCATATTTCTCTCTCCCTCTCTCCTCTATCCATCCATGTCTCTCTCTTCTCTCTCCTTTCATCTTTCCTCTTTCCTATTTCTTTCCCTCTTTCCTCTAACCATCAATTCAGCGTCCCCCTCTCCCCCCTCTCCTCGTTTTCTTTCCCTGTTTCTCCTCTATACCTTCTTCTCTTTCCTCTCACTTTGTCTCCTCTTTCCTTCTCTTTCTCTTTCTCTCATCTCTCCATCCTGCTGTGTCGCTGCCTCAGCAGAACTCCAGCCCTGTGACAGCTGCAGTGTTTATCACATCATCATCACTCCATTTTTCAGCCTCGTAAAACAAGCTCCACACCGAGAACACTTTTCCTGCTCCAGCTCGGCTTCAGATCCACAGTTAAACAACAAAACACTTCACAAACTCAATACGGCTCATTCCAACGGCCTTTCCAGAACCTTAAGACAAAGACAGAGGATTCACAAACAATCTGAGTATCGTTCGTTCATTCGTTTTTCAAAATAAAACCAAAAATAAGAAAATGAAAAAACAAACAAACAACAATTTTCTTCATTATTTGGATAACGACAGTTTCCCGTGTATGTGACTTAAACTGTGATGCCGAACTGAACCAGGACTGAACAAGGACTAAACAGGACTAAAATAGGCCTGAACTAGGTCTAATCCAGGACTAAAACAGGACTAACCCGGTCTCAGTCCTGGTCTAAGTCTTGGTCTGGTCCCAATCTCTGTGCAGGAATCAGTTCTGGTCTCATCCCAGTCCTGTTCCCAGTCTCAGTCCAGGTCTAGGTCTCGGTCTCAGTCCTGGTCCTGGTAGCGGTCTGATCCCAGTCTCATTCATGGTCTCAGTTCTGGTGTGGTCCCAGTCTCAGTGCCGGTCTCAGTGCCGGTCTCAGTGCCGGTCTCAGTGCCGGTCTCAGTGCCGGTCTCAGTGCCGGTCTCAGTTCTGGTCAGGTCCCGGTCTCAGTCCTTGTCTCAGTCCTGGTCTTAATCCCAGTCCCAGTCCTGGTCTGGTCCGGTCCCGGTCAGGTCCCAGTCTCAGTGCCGGTCTCAGTTCTGGTCAATTCTGGTCAGGTCCTGGTCAGGTCCTGGTCTCAGTCCCAGTCTGGTCCCAGTCTCAGTCCTGGTCTCAGTCCCAGTCTGGTCCCAGTCTGGTCCCAGTCTCAGTCCTGGTCTCAGTGCAGGTCTCAGTCCTGGTCTCAGTCCCAGTCTGGTCCCAGTCTCAGTCCTGGTCTCAGTCCCAGTCTCAGTCCCAGTCTCAGTCCCAGTCTGGTCCCGAGATGTTAATGACTTTGTCTGAAATGTTCCACAGTGTGGCATTAAACCTTTCTAACTTCATGGAGACCAAACCAGGTCAAGTTACAGGTCAGATCTGTGGAGAGGCGACTCTGCTCACAGTCAAAATGCTGTTTTTGGAGGTATTTTTGAGCTATAAAACCACCTGTAATTGAATAAATGTAAAATAAAAGTAGAGCTGTTTAATGTCACACTGTGGAACATGGACCTCCAGCCTAAACGTTACATAATTCAACTTTAACTGTTTTTGGCACACGCTTTTGTAATTTATCCAAACTATATAGCAAATTTACATTTATAATTTCACAAAACCCCAATGTTCTTCAAGCAGCGCCGCAAACAAACACTCAAACACAATCATTTTCTCTTCGTTACTCCACGTTTAAAATCATTCTCGTTGTGTTATAGTTATAGTGTTGTTCTTTCTTACCCACAGGGAAGTTCTGCGTCACGGCTCCAGGGCCCAGGTCTGAGGAGCCCGAGGACAGAGACGGCTTCACCTCGTCCAGGCTGGAGCTCAGGGGCAGGGAGTACTCACTGGCCTGAAGAAGAAGAGAAGAGAGATACAGGATTATGACAAAAATACAAATACAAAGAGGGGGATGGCAAAATTGTACAAATAACTGACTGGGAGAGGCAAAAAAATACTTGTAATAATCATGTACAAAATTTAAATTGTACCATAAATCAATCAGGTTTTTCTATCATAACCATTGAAACTAGTTACTTATTTCATCAGATTTTAAATATTCAGGGTTTCCACTCTTTTCCACTGACGAAATTTCAAAACTTTTCCATGACTTTTTCATGACTTAAAGTGAATTTTCCATGACTTTACGGCACCTACGTGTGTAGAGTTGATCAGACTTTTAAGGCTAAATATGAAATGTTAACTCTTTCCTCTCACCTTATAGTTTGGTTTTATAGTTTATATAGTTTAACTTTCAAAATCCTGTCAGTGCATTTATTGTCGTCTCTTTTAAACAAATTGTGCAGAAAATAATCATAATAGTCTAATCTAAAGAGAAGCTGTAGTTGTGTGAATGAGATACTAAAATTCCCTGACTTTTCCAAAACTTTCATTGAAGTTATAAAATGCCATGACTTTTCCAGGCCTGAAAAATGACATTTTCAATTTCCATGACTTTTCCAGGATTTCCATAACTGCGGGAACCCTGAATATACGGTACATAGGGTGACCAGATTTTCAAAATAAAAGAATGGGACATCCTTTTTTTGGGGGGTTGTTTGTTGATAATAAAGTTGTTATGCAGAGACAATTCATGAGTCTTTATAGTAAATTTTTCTTTGTGTTTTGGTCGTTTTTGAGCAGCTTTTCTGTATTTTGCCTAAACAAATGACAATTTATGCCTCTTTTACTGTTGGTCGGGATGAAATTGGTCCAAAATAGAGACACCTGGGACATTTCTTGTATAAAACTGGGACAAATCACTGGTTTTGTATAAATCTGCTGGGACAGGGGACACAGGGCTCAAAACTGGGACTGTCCTGGGGAAATAGGGACGTGTGGTCACCCTGAACAAAACATTAGTTAACAGTGTCAAATAAGGCTGTGCAATTAATTTAATTTCGATCACGATTTCGATTTGTTAGTGTCAAAAATAATCTTTAAACTCATATATATTGAGTTGAAACGAAGCTTAACAAAGTTTATTTTGGGATAGTTTTTTATATAAATAAGTACATTTATTAATTTAATTCTGGTCACCCTAGACCAGGGGTGGGCAAACTAAGGCCCGGGGGCCATATGCGGCCCTTTAATCTTTTTAATCCAGCCCTCTAAACTTGAACAATAATAATTTTCAGAGTTTTAAAAGTAATTTCAATAAATAGTAAATACTGTGAGACTTGAAAGACAGGTATTTTGTTATAATGATTTTCAGTTATGGGATATTTCACTAACATATTTATATATAGATAGATATTTTTTTCTCTTATGAGGTGGATCACCAAAAAACTCCATCCATCTGCTCCTGGTCCGGCCCTTCCATCAAATTTTAGAACCCTTTGTGGCCAACAAGTCAAAAAGTTTGTCCACCCCAGCCCTAGACAAACATTTTATTTAGGCACACTCAAGGAAGCATTACAACAATGAATATGTACAAAAACATTAACACAGAAAAGTTAAAATGTATAAATTACATACAGCACAAAGTTTGACATCTGAAGAAATGCATGGTAATAATACATGGTTAAAATAATTCACCTTAAAAATTCTAATAAACAAAAACATATATTTGACTTTCTTTTTTTTGAGAATTGTATTATCATTTTTGTATATACGTATATTTTTTCATTTTGTCCATTATTTAAGTCTAAATTCCCGTCGTGTTTCCCATCAGGTCTCCACGCTCCTGTGACGACATTGTGTGTGTCCAGACAGCAGGAGGCAACTGGACCATATCATGAATGTTTTTGTTCAAGAGGAAGTTTACAGACGAGTGGAGAGACGGAGGGAGAGACGGAGGGAGAGAGGAGAGAGGGAGGAAGAGAGGGAGAGATGGAGAGACAGAGGGAAGGGCATCAGCTGTTGTTCTATTGTGTTTAATTCATCTGGAGCACCCATGGGAGACGAGACTCTGTGAGGCCCTCTGCACGAGGCCTCAACTGCACCAACCTCACTCCTCTGGGATAAATAATAATAATAAATGTTCAATAGGTTTGCATTTTTATACAAATATATGTTTATTTTGTAAGTTTTGGTTGATTTACTACTACTACTACTTTTTTTTTTTTTTTTTGTCTGAATTTTATGACGTTCTTATAATGCTTTTTCGTATATTCTCATACAAATTTTGGATAATTAAACATTTTTTTTCTATGTTGATTTTACATATAAATACATACATATACTGTATATTATTCTATAAATCACAGTTTTTTTTAATGGTTTGGTTTCATGGTTCTCTATTAAAATTTCCTCAAAAAACTGACTTGGATACGCTTGTTTCTTCTTCATTATGCATTTTTTTACTGGTGTGACTTATATATAATAAATAAATAAATAAATAAATAACGTATTTGGAATTATCATTTCATTTTTTGTTAATAACTGTAATTTTAGACAAACATTTTTCTGTGTTAATTTCACATATATATAGAATTACACACATATCTTTATATTTTTTACATTATTTATTTATATTTTTATTTATTTATTATATTTATTTTTTTATTATTAGGTATTAGTAGTAAAAGTATTAGTATTAGTAGCAGTAGTAATAGTAGTAGTAGTAGTAGCTGTAGTAGTAGTATAATAGTGGTGGTAATAGTAGTAGTAATAGTAGTAAAATAGTAGTAGAAATAGAAGTAGTAGTAGTAACAGTTGTAGTAGTAATAGTAGCTGTAGTAGTAATAGCAGCAGTAATAATAATAGCAGTAATAATAGTAATAGTAATAGTATTAGTATTAGTATTAGTATTAGTAGTAGTAGTAATAGGAGTAGTAGTAGTATAAAGCCATGCATGTGTATTTGAAATAATAAAATATATAAATTAATACATAATAATAATATATAATAATAAATACAATGACTAAACCTTGTCAGAAGCTGTAACCTCAAAGTGAATAATAAAAGTACATTTTTATTAATTATTATCAAAACACAAATCCAAGGGGAGGGTGTTTTGCGTACGCCCTCCTCCCCGTCCTCGAGTTCACATTCTGGGGTCCGTTTCCCCGTTTCGCCGTTTCACCGTTTGACCTCGCCTTTGTCCCGCTCCCTCCGCGATAAACTCTCTTTCTCTTTACAACTGTTCACGGGGCAAAAAGTCTCGTGTTTACCTCTGTCTCCGGCGAGCAAACGGGCTTTTTATGATGCAGATGGAGGAGAGGGGGATGAGGAGAGGGGGATGAGATGAAGGATGGAGAGAGGAGGAGAGAGGAGGGGGGGTCCCATTGAAATGATCTAGGCCCGGTGAATGGGACGAGCACATGGTCGGACAGCAGTGTGGGAGGAGACGAGCGCGCGATCTGAATGGGCTTTTAATGCAGTGAAGCAGAGGACCACCTGCACTTCACACACACACCGATTACACCGAGAGTAATAAACAAGGCAGATTTATGTCGGATTAAAGACGCACTGTGGAACTTTTCCGTTTTAGGGGAGTCTGACACCAGCGTAACTCTAACAACTTCAGCGATATGACGTGTGTTTACCTCGTTGAGATGTTTTCAGCTGAGACGTCTTCTGAACTCTTGTGTTTACTGATACTTAATTGAGACCAAATCGAGACCAAGACCAGTTCGAGGCCACAGAGTCCAGAGACCAGGACAAGACCAAGACCTCTGAGGGTCGAGACCAAAACAAGGCTGAGACTTTTAAAGGTCGAGATCGAGACAAAGACCGAGACCATGTAGCCTGATTCATCAGTTGGTTTCACTTCACGGAAACCGTCTGACCTCGCAGCATTAGGATTCGTTCACTCGATGGTAGGCGGATACTTTTTTAATTTAACCAATCGCTGTTATTTGGTCGTGACTTATGTAATGCATCAAATCCCGTAGGAAGAAGGACAATAACGTCTTTCCCCTTGATAAAATTCAACAAACATTCTCTTTGTTCCGGCTTTAAATCCTCGATCTCGGGAATCGTTGCCAACACAGAATGTCTGTCTTTGTCTACATCCATCTCGACGCTTTGTTTACTGTTGTGCTGTTCCACAAAAGGGACCCAGACAGACGCCACGAGTTTGACATCATGACTTCACAGCTCTTCGCTGATTGGTCGGTGCGCGGTCTACAACTTCCAGAGTTCTTGCAAACCGTCTAGTGTATTCTGATTCCTGACCGAGTCGCTGGACAGAAATGAAATTGAGCGGCGGCACTAGGTGGCACCAGAGTGACTAGAGATGAGGGCCTTTCAAGATCAAATCTTTGTCTTTGTCATCTTTGTCATTTTCTACATTTATTTGTATTTTACTGTTGTTTTGGCACATTAATTACAGTGTTTAGATCTAGCTTAGTCTTGGATTAGTCTTGGTTTAGTCCTGATTTAGACCTGATTAAGTCCTGGTTTAGATCTAGTTTAGTCCTGGTTTAATTAGTCCTGGTTTAGACTTGGTTTAGATCTGGTTTATTCCTGGTTTAGTCCTGGTTTTTGTTTTGATTAAGTCTTTTAGGTCTGGTCTAGTTCACATTACAATGGTTTAGACCTGGTTTAGTCCTGATTTAGATCTGGTTTAGTCTTGGTTTAGTGCTGAGTTAGTCCTGGTTTAGACTTGGTTTAGATCTGGTTTAGACCTGGTTTAGTCCTGGTTTTTGTTTTGATTAAGTTTTTAGGTCTGGTCTAGTACGCGTTACAATGGTTTACACCTGGTTTAGTCTAGTTCTAGATCTGGTTTAGATCTGGTTTAATCCTGGTTTAGTCTTGGTTTAGTGCTGAGTTAGTCCTGGTTTAGACTTGGTTTAGATCTGGTTTAGATCAGGTTTAGTCCTGGTTTAGTTTTGATTAAATCTTTTAGGTCTGGTCTAGTACACGTTAAGATGGTTCAGTCCTGGTTTAGTTCTGGTTTAGTCCTTA